TTTTAATTTGTTATATATTTTGCTAATTAGTTTATAAGATATGTTAATTTATTGTTGTTCATAGACTCGGAAGTCCGATTTCAAGTATTTCCCTCCATAGGAATTGGGTTTCTCACTTCATTGTATTGCATGTCTCATTCATTTATTTTATATTTATTATTTTTATATAAGAATTTTTGTACTTATTACACAAAAATATATAATCTCAGTTCTTGTAACTTATTACACAAAAATATATTAATCTCCTAATAAAAAAAAAATTCCTAATACAGATTAATAAAATCTAAGGTTATAAATAAAAATTTACATTTCCAAAAATATGCCTCCTAAAATAAATTTAATTTCAATTATGCCTCCTTTTGATAGGAAAATATTATATTGTTTTTACTCATGATTTCACTCATTTTGATACTGATCGATTCTTCTTAATTTCATGGCAGCTATGGGTCAGTTCGGCAAAATTAGTTATTTTGGTAGTTGTTAGCTGTTTTAGTAGCTTTTCATGAAATATTAAGAGCTAAACGTATAAAATGATACCATAATTTCTAAAAATTAATTCAAAGGTTATGTTATCAAACAACTTTTTAAGTAAACACTAGAAGCTACTTAAACAACTGTTGCTGAACACAACATATATACTGAAATTTCGTTGATGGGATATATGGATTCAAGGTTGTGTTTGACAATAATTTTTTAAGTAGCTTTAACCAGTTAAAACTTTAAATGCTATTTGAATTAGCTTTCAGAAGTTAAAAGAATATTTAAAAAAATCAACCCTTATAGTATTTAGCTTTCAGCGTTTTATAAAAAACTATCTAAACGGGTACTAGCTACTAAAATAATTAACACCTACCAAAACAATTAATTTTTCCTAAAAGTCCCTCAATGGTGAAATAAGAATAACAATCAAATTCAAGCATGGTCAACGTAAATTTATCTTTTTTACATATTACTGAAATTTGAATATAATATTTATGGAAGTGATAGGTAAGTGCATTTGTAAGTTTTTGGATCTGTTAGCTTATATTAACAAACTGAAAATTATAGAATGTGTCTGTGTTTTTTCTCTTTTTTTTTTTTAAAAAAAAAAAATCCATGTTTATCTAATGCTTTTCCCTATGGAAAATCTGAATCTTTGTTATTTAACCTCTTGATCAACAATTACAACATTTTGTTATTTCTACTTGTGAGAAAAAAAAAAGAAATAATTTTAACCTAATTTAGAATTATTTTAACTCAATTAGGGATTTTAATATTTTGGTAAAATAAAAAATATCCTTAAAAATTTGTTGCTATGGTAATATTTAGCTCCTTAAAAATTTGTTTGCTATACTCAATTAAGAGTATTTGAACTTAATTAATAACTTTAATATTAAAGAAAAAACTGAATTAGGATAATTAGAAATATTTAAACTCAATAGGGATCTTTTTTTCTTTTTTTTGAATTAAAAAAGGACATTGTTAAACTTCAAAAATGAAATTATTTTATATGTCAAGATAATTAAAGTATTTTGGTGAAATATGAGAATATGAACGCCTGATTGCTTCTCCTTTTTCCTTTTACCTCTTTATAAGGGGAAGCAAATGTGAGATAGTGAAGAGAATCTATCCGCTGCTAGCCGACATATAATATATTTTGTAGAGATTTTTCAGGGATAGTAGATAATAGGCGGTTTGGAGTAAATTTTATGGGGATAATTTTATTTTAATATCTTTAAATGTTTTCTTTTATATTTGAATATTATTCTAATATCTTTAAAATGTTTTCTTTTATATTCTGCAATATTATCAATTTATTAATTAATTTATCAAATAAATATTATCCAGAATATATTTTAACCTATTAGGGATTCAAATAAGAAATCCACTTATTTAAAAAATAAACAAATGATTTTAATTTAAATTAGGAAAAAGAAAAGAATTTCATAATAATGTTAATTATTAATGACTTCGATCAAAAATTAATATTTGAACTTAAGTTGAAATTTCCAAATATTTTTAGCAAAATTCGAAAAGGGCTAAAAAATGTTTTCTTTTATATTTGAATATTATTAATATTTATTTATTTATCAAATATTATTATCAGACATATTTTAACTATTAGGAATTCAAATAAGAAATCCAATATTTAAAAAAAATAACAAAATATTTTAATTTAATTAGGAAAAAGAAAAGAATTTCATTAATAATTTATTATTATGATGATCAAAAATTAATATTTGAACTTAAGTTGAAATTCCAATATTTTTACAAAATTGAAAAGGATAAATAATTTAATTCAATGACGAACATTCGAATTATTAAGTCTTAGTTAGAAGATGCTTCTTTTTGTAGAGTTCTTATATTTTCCTTTTCAATTAGAGGGATTTGGTTATTATTTTTCTTTGGCTTGAATATTTTCAATTGTTCAAACATAATTCAATACAAATGTTAAATATATTTATACGTATTTAACATAATTGAAGATAAGTATTTGGCTGTTGAAGGTACTATAGAGTTGATTTGACCAATTTATTTCGCGTGATGCTTTTAATGATGCTTCAAATGGATACCTTATTGATGATTGTTGTGTGTTTGAATGGCTGTCACCGCCAAAATGAAAGGCTTCAATTATTACCATACACTTCCGCATTAAATTTTAAGGGAGAAATAATTATTATTAAAATATAAAAGTGTAAAGTTATGATGAGTTAAATGCAGAGTCATGATGAGTTTTTCGCAAAATTTAGGGGCATGAAGATAATTGGTTGAAAATATAAGGTCAAATTTATACATTAGGCCATTGATAGAATGAGCTATAAGAGACTTATGGATTTTGCTATTATACATAGGTTTTTTTTCTGGTGAATATATAAATTTACCCCTATAATTTTAATCTTTTGACTTCCGGAACTTTATAAATGACTTATGATGTACTTAAACTTATAAATTTTAATAATATTATATACTCTTCCATACTAATAGCAGTAGATTTTATTATTTTTTATGTTTATATGTAAAATATTGATTTGATGTAGATAGCATAACTCTTGAAATATTAATTTTCACATTTTCAACTATTTAATAGATGTTTAATAAATCTAATTTTGCAAGCTGAAGTGTTCAATCAAGTAATTCTGCAAGTTATGATAAGTCAAAGTAAAAGTTGGATGTGCGATGACATCAAAGTAATAAAGTTTAGGAATGTATTTATGTATTTCGACTTTTTTTTTTGGAATAAAGGCTAATTTAGTCCCTGAACTTATTTAGCAGGGTCAAAAGACCTTTTTGAGCCAATTTGGCCCTTGAACTTGTATAAAATGATTAAAAATATCCAATTTCATTTTTTAAGCCAATTTAATTCCTGAACTTTTATTGATTTTTATAAATTAATAATTGATTTAGTTTAACATTATTGACTTTTAATCTCTTTTTGTCCTACACTAAAAACGTCATATCAAAATTTTCCAACACTTATGAATATACATTTAAAATCCATAAAATATCATTTCTTGTAATATAATAAATTTTATAAACATGTATTATAACTTTAATTTATTCAACATGAAAAATTCATAGAATTCATAATTTTCGATCACCCATAATTTTCGATCACCCAGTAATAGAGGTTAATTTTAAAATGTTAAAAATAATACATATTTATAAACTCAAAACCACCAATCAATATAAAAAGAGATACAATATATTTCTTATATTATTTTCCTATATTTTATAATTAATTAATTTTTTAATAAATTAAATCAGCTCACAGTTTTAATAAATGTCTATATAATGATTTATATTGTAAATACAATGAATAAATAGAGATTAAATTGACTCAAAATGTTAAATATGATTTTTTAATCATTTTAAATAACTTCAGGGGTAAAATTGATATAAAATCAGATTTTTTAAATTATTTTATATATATTAAAGGGCTAAATTGATCGAAAAGTTCAAATCAAAATCTTTTTAACCTGTTAAATAAGTTCAGGGATCCATCTGTCCTTTATTCTTTTTTATTATTTTATCATTCACATGCCCATTACTTCTTCCCTACTTTTCCTATTTTTTTTATTCCTATATAAGAAAAAGAAAACGTAAAGACAGAGTTAAGTGGTAACAGGAGTACGAGAAGTCATGGAAGAAGTGATTTATTAAATGGCAAATGACCCCTAATCCCAACGGTGACTTTATTATGCAATATAATAATTTTATAAAACATCATTTCTTGTAATATAATAACTTTATAAACATGTGTTGTAATTTTAATTTATTCAACATGAAAAATGTATAGATTTCATAATTTTTGATCACCCAGTAATCGAGGTTAATTTTAAAATATTAAAAATAATACATATTTATAAATTCAAAACCATCAATCAAGCTAAAAAGAGATACAATATATTTCATATATTATTTTTCAATATTTTATAATTAATTAATTTTTTAATATAATTAATTTTTTAATAAATTAAATTAGCTCGATCTCAATTACAGTTTTAATAAATGTCAATGTAATGATTTATATTGTAAGTGCAATAAATAAATAGAGGTTAAATTGACTCAAAATGTTAAATATAATTTTTTAATTATTTTAAATAAATAAATAAATAAAGGTTAAATTGACTCAAAATGTTAAATGTAATTTTTTAATTATTTTAAATAAATTCAGAAGTTAAATGACCTAAAAATGAAATCAAAATTTTTAATTATTTTATATAAATTAAATGGTTAAATCGACCGAAAATGGATAGTTTTACCTCTAAATAAGTCCAGGGACCCACCTGTGCATTATTCTTTATTATTATTATTATTATTTATTATTATTATTCACACGCCCTTTACTTCTTCCCTACTTTTCCTTTTTTTTTTTATTCCTATATAAGAAAAAGAAAACGTGAAAACAGAGTAAAGTAATAATGGGAGTAAGAGAAGTCATGGAAGAAGTGATTGCTGAACTCAGTGCCAAAGAAGAAGTAAAAACTGTTATGGAAGAAGACTCAGTGCCAAAGAAGACAGTAAAAACTGTTATGGAAGAAGATCACTGAAGTCCTATCAAAGAAGAACAAAGAGGTCAGGAATTTCTCTGTCTTTATCTCTCGTTCTCTCAAAATTGCGCACATATTTAAAAATAATCAGAGATTGATGCTAAATGTTGCTTATGATTTTGATGTTTAATCAACAGAAATAATAAGGGAACTAAGGGATCGTCCACCTGCTCACTATCTGTTTCAGTTTGAAAACTTCTCTAAACTTTCTGATGCAAGGGTCGAGAATTTTCAATCAAGTGAGTTTGAAGTTGGCGGATACAAATGGTTGGTATCCAAAACCTGTTATTGCATTGAGAAATTTTATCCAAAACCTGTCAATGGCTGCACAGGTTTATTGCAAGGTCCAAAGATACTCGACATTTCTTTTCTTAAAATTTTGCAGATTCATGACATGAAGTGAAGACTCAAGCAATCATAATTGCTGCACCATTTGCATAATCAGGTATGTATCTATTTATACGAACTTCATTTTAATATATTACATGTAGTTTAATATATATGCATGTATTGTCATTTTAATATATTACATGTAGTTTAATATATATGCATGTATTGTTCAATTTTGGCAATAGTCACTACGTTTCTGCGAGAGGATTAGCTCTCTTTTGTAAAAAAATGACAAAATTTGTACTATTTAGTTTCTTCTGTCATCCACAATCTAAAGGATACTGATCAGAGATAGATGTATAACAAACTCATGCCAACTTGTGTGTTTTGAACTCATCATCCCATGCATCACCAAAATGCAAGTTGGAAAGTTCTTCCAAAGGTTTCATAATCTCTTCTGAAAAGTTATACTTTACTCATCTAAATTAAGATTTAATTTATTAATTAAAATGCTGCAAGAGACAAACTGTTAAAGCATTTAAAGCAATTGTTGCACTTATAAAACCTGACCCATCAGGGCTCTTTATGTCATCATGCAAAAACCAATCAACTGCAAACTAGCAGCAGTGAATGCTGAGTTAAAATAAAATAATTTGAGAATGATGTTTGTTTGATGGGTTAATGTTATTTCACTTTTAGACAAAAAATAAACAAGTAGGGCAATTATATGCTTGCTTATATACTTAGATTCTTTGATTTCAAAAAATGCAAATGATCAAAGATTTTAATACTGTTTGTAGAAGTTACCAAGACTTAATCAAAACTCAAGGCTCTTGTGATTTTGCTGGCACTGCTACCAGTTCTGCATCTGATCCTAGTAAGCCATTGCTGAAACAAGGCATGTTTTAGTATTCCTCTGATCCTAGTAAGCCATGTTTAAGTGAAGAGACAAGGCACCGATTTTTTTTTCTTACCCTTTTATTTTCTGTGATTCTTGCAGGTGTTAGTGGCTGTTATTACCCAGCTACTGTCAGGTATGCTGAGCCTTTTAACATTGTCTTTGAGATATTTGCTACTACTCTACAATTTTAATTTTTCTGGTTTGGTTGATGTGTTTTTGGTTTCTCTTTCCCTTTTTATTTAAGCATAAAATTTATTGATTAAAAAAAAATTGATTAAAAAAAATGCATGCTGTCAAAATAAGACAGCCTTTTGTTAGTTGGCTTTACTGAATCCAAATAGTTTAAAATTGGAAGAATATACCATTTGTGGGAAAGTGAATTTCTTAACCCCTTTATTTAAATATAAACTTATTTTATATTAATTAATTAAAAACAATAAAATAGCACAAGTATACTAGACAGAACATTAGTTTATTTTATAAATGTATGCATGTATCTAAACTTTGATTTATTATATGATTTATATATCTTGGAAGCATAAGAATATTTTATTTTTTTACTGCTTTTGCTTTTCTAATACTTTATTGCTTTTCTTATTATTATTGTCAAGCATAAATAGTTTCCTTTGCAATATAGTTTGATTGTTTTAAAAGACTTGATTAGATATTAATATATTAGCTATTAAGGAGACAGACTTGATTAGATATTAATATATTAGCTATTAAGGAGACTTAGATTTCTAATTGTACTTGGTGCTTTGTAATATTGTTATGAAAATCTAAATAATTGTCAACCAGGTCAAGATGAGTTCAGATCGACTATGGATGTACCAACGACTTGAGGACGATTTCTTAAGACCTGGATTCATGGACTGACAATTGGGCCTGACTGGCGTTTTAATGCATCTACTATTACTGGATTTCGTGCTGATCGTACTATAAATGATGCGGAGGATGATCGAGATGAGAGCCTTAATTAGTAGCCACCATAATAAACTAGTATTATCTTTATTTAAACATTTAAAACATATAACTAAATGTGGAAAGACTTTTTTTTTCCTTTATTTTTCTAGTTTTAATACAATATCGAACAAGTTTGCTGAATTAATTTACGAGATATTATAAATATATTGCAAGTGTATTATGGTATATGGTGTTGAATTGGAATTGTTAATAATTACGGGTTTTTGATGCTATATTAAAACATGTTAATTATGCAAATTTAGGCAAAAAATTGTTAATTATGCAAAATTTTAGGCAAAATTTTTTAATTTTTTATCAAATTAGGGGACAAGAATAGCGAATTAGCGGCAAAATAATTATTTTATTAAATATATTATTAAATTTAACGACACAATAACGATAATTATTAAAATATATATTAAATTTAACGACACAATAACGATAATTTACCGATAAAACAATGACAAAATAGCATCAAAATTAAGAACAAAATCCCAATAAAATATAAAATTTGTCTACATTCTAAATATAATTACCGACGGAAAATAATTAATTTAGGGACAAAATTTTTACTGACAAAACATATTTTTGTCGCTAAAAAATAGCAACAAGTGTTTTACCAAGAAAATTATTTTGTTGCTATTTTAATGGTAAATGTAAATTAGCATCAAAATATTATGAATTAGGGACAAAAAATTTTGTCGCTAATTTATTTTTTTCTTGTAGTGAACAACTTTGGTGACATTGGTCTAATTCCTCTTGGAGATTTCAAGGATGCATCCAAACGATTCATAGTTGGCAATACTGTGATTGTGGAAGTCCAAATTCTTTTCTTGACAGTGGTCAAGGAGTTCTCTTGAAGATATTGCCTTTTGGAGTATGTAAAAATGAAAATACAAGTAGCTAAATTAGAAGACCTAAATATTAGCTTAACTTGAATATTTTTGAATTGGGCATGTTTTCTTCAGGTTGAATGTTCCTATTTGGTGCTTCATAAAATGTGTTACAGATTTTCTTGCAGTGGCGAAGGTTTTAAACTTAGGCAACATTGCATTTTTGTGTTTTGTTTTATACGTAACACAATCTTAAGGTCCAATCTAGCATATGCTGCATTAATAGTAATTTATTAAATGGCAAATGATTCGTAATCCCTAGGGTGACTTTACTATACAATCTTATTCTAAACTCATTTATGACTATTCATATACTCATTAATTAAAAGTGATTTATTTAATCAATTTTATTTTTCTAGAATCGAGACGTTTTGAATCATTTTTTAATTTTTGTGAAAAATAAAAAATATCAAAATTAATGGAAGGTCTTAATTATTCTATAGCTAAGAAAAGTTTAGTAGTAGTATTTGTTTACTTTGAAAATTGCAATTGTTAAAACTAATTGAAGTATAAAAAATTCGTTTCAAAAAAAAAAATTGAAATATAAAAAATTAAATCCTAATTAAATTTATTGTGTTGCAGTATTTTAATTTAATTTTAAAATTTATATTTTTGAAATTAGAAGTTCAAAATATTACAATTTAAAATTTCCATATAAATTAACTAAAATAATTTCAGTGATGTTTAAATTTAATTAAATAAATGGTTTTGGTGATTAAATACATAGAAAAAGAAAAAAAAAACTCATGTATGAATAGAACCATATATTCTCTCAGTAATTATTTTCAAAAAATTTCCAAATTACGTATAAAAAAAATAAGGGAGGTGAAATGTAAAACCATGGCTATGAATGTAGAGATTTTGAGGTTTATTGATATGGGGGTAAGCTATAAATTTGACTCTGAACTTTGACCGATTATTTTTGTGGCCATTTAAATTTTGTGAGGGTTTAATTATGACTCTACATTTTCATATTGCAACAATAACTGTCACTTATCAAAATGAAATATATTTGCAAGGGTTCAATCATGACTCTATATTTTCACATTGCAATAATAACTATCACCACCAAAATGAAAGGGTTGAATAATTACCATACACTTTCGCATTTAATTTTAACGAGGAGATAATTATTATTGAAATATAAAAGTGTAAGGCTATGATGGGTTAAGTGCAGAGTCATGATGAGTTCCTCGCAAAGTTGAGGGGGCATGAAGATAATTGCTTGAAAGTACAAGATCAAATTTATACATTAAGCCATTGATAGAAAAAGCTACAAGAGACTTATGGATTTTGCTGGTATACATGGTTTTTTTTGGTGAATATATAAATTTACCCCTGTAATTTTAATCTTCTGACATCCGAAAACTTTATAAATGACTTATTATTGTCACGACCCATTTCCATGGACCGGACCGGCACTAGGACCTGGGTGGGCTTAAGGCCCCCGAAGCCCGTAGTAAGCCTAACTCATTTAAGTTCCACATTCATTCATTCTTAATTATGGATTAAGGCACCATTAAACTTTATTATACATATTGCATCCAAAATACAGTTCATATTATTTTAAATCTGGACTTTCATATTTGCACTTACAACCAACTGGAATTACAATTCGGAACTCTTACCGTAAATGACATATTTATTTCTGTCATTAACGTCTTCAATTAATACGTATTTCAACTCCATAGGGCTCCTTTCTTTCTTATTACCTGAAAAAAAATAGTAGGCAGGGTGAGCGCCAAATCAATGAGTAAGGGTTTAGATAAACCTCTCACCCTCACACAATACACAGATGCTAAAAATATTTCTATTGGACACCAATTTAATTATATGATCAGTCAATTTGTCACACAAATGGCAATAACAACAGCAATCCACAGTTATTATCACCTTGCCACTATAATCAACATTCACGTGGAAATTAGTCAGTGGGCACACCTGAAACCCCCAACGAGCCGTCCTCACACCATGCTCGCGCTCTCATTACATGTGCACCAGGGGGAGCCGATCCCCCATACGGCCAACTGGCTTCTTAATCCTCCAGCTGACCAGTCCTTCATTGTGTTTTTTTTTCATTCTCTCTTTTCTTTTTCCATTACCACAGGAGGCCAACCCGTGGCTCCATTCCAATCTATCCATCCAATCTAGATCATCAAGTGCTCACCACAGGAGGCCACCCTGCGGGCTACAATCAAATCTAGATTATCAGGTGCGCAACAACAAGAAGCCATCCTGTGAATTCCCATATAATCCATATCATCAGGTGCACACAGGGGCGCCGATCTCCCATTTTCCTGGCCGACGGTCAAATATCATATCATATTTAGGATCCATATCACAGACCGTCCTCACAAACCCATGGTGGTCCACTTCATCCCAATTCAACACAAACAAAGCATAGCATTATCACAACACAATTAATCAAACATTGCAATTAATTGCAGACATATTGATCAGTTGAACATCTAATGCAATGCAAAATTAGACACCATTCTCAAATGCAATTAAATAATTAAATGCGGATGGTACTAGTTATCTAACACTACTCAACAGTTCTTTATTGTCCTTTACAAGGACTGCCTTTTTAGCCACATGCTGTCCAGCTTTTGTCCTCGCTTTTGTATTTTTATTAAACGAGTGGAAATCAGATTTACAAATTTCCGTTGAATCCGCGTGAATACTAGGCCTTACAATGTACCGATCAAAAATTGGATTTGATTTTCGTGATCCGCGCGAAGAGGAGATCATTCTGCCTCTCGGGGTCTTCGCCGGAGTCTCACCGGAGCCTCGCCGGACCACCGCTGTCGCCGCCGTGCATGGTGGCCGGAAAATTTAACCTCGACGCCTCAAGTCATCGGAAGCGATGGGAAATCGCCGGAGAAGTTGTTGCAACGGAGCCAAAGTTTAAATCAAACTCCTTGCGACGAGTAGATATTTTTAGAGTATCTATTTGCCGGATTTGGAGGCCGGTGGTCGGAGAACGAGAAGAAAAGGGGAGGGGGGTTGTTGAGAGAGAAGAGCGAGAGAGAGACCACTGAGTCTCTCTTCTCGTTTCTCTTTTTTCTTTTTCGTGTGGTTTTTTTTTTTTTTTTTTCTAGGAAATTTTCTAATTGGTGGGATGGGGTTTGGGTCGATTCGAGTCTGATTTGCGTTAATCGTGGTTTTAGCTTGGTTTTTCAATTGTTTTTATGGATTATTCTGGTTTTCGAAAAATTAAATTTGATTTTTGGGTCCGGTTCAATTTATTTGATTATTTTGTTCGTTTAGTAAATTTTTCTTCAATTTAGTTCATTACAAATATTAATACCAAAGATATTAATTTTAGGCTGATTAATTTATATAGTAGTTACATATATATAGACACATTTTAATGATTAACAATTTAGTGTTCCTTTTTATTTCATCGAAATTTTAAGTATTATCCAAATGAAAATTCTATAAATATATGTTTGTGGGCTGGCCCATTCGTAAAACTTTGGGCCTCAATTAGACTACCTCGGTTTAACGCCCATATTATCAGAAAATCTGAGATTTTTTGATTAATAAAATTCAAACAGTTTTGAAAAATAAAAATCCGGGGGTTATTTCATCTTTCCCCCCCTTAAGACAATTCGTCCTCGAATTGAAATCTCTGGGAAAGAATAAGAATGGATGCTGGGAATTTTAACAGTCACAAGAAATGCTTTCCACTACCAAGAGACAGCTCAAAAGCGAAAATACAGATCGAGGAAGGCAGTGATGGGTATTCTGGTGTACTTCTACCGGCCCAATTATCATATTTAGATAATACTTCGTCAAGCTACATTAGTCCACCTAGCTGGAAGACTCTAGCTGAAGCTTATAAGGAGTTTTATTATATTAATCTTCAATACTATCATCGTTCGGCTATTGGAATCTTTAGAAAATCGCTCATTAAATAAACATCTTTCAATAAAACCGAGTTTAGCAATAAAGGCGTAATAGTAATAATGTACATTTTTCTCAAGCTTATTTACTTTCATTTGAAAATTAATTTCTTACGCAGAACAATTTGACATTCAATTTATTTATAATAAGAATTGATTCATTTAATTTCCATATGTTATGACTAAATCTTTTCTTAACCAAAGTTGAAAAACTGTTACTTTAATCCAAAATTTTTAAGAAAAATTATCTTGTAATTCCCGTTGTCTATATTGTCGCAGGATTATTCAAGATTACTCTATCAGTTCTTTTTATACAAGTTCAATTCTTCTTATAATATATTTAT